AGAAATACAAAGCAAAAAGGGAAAGTCCAAAGACCCCAAAGTAGGAGAATTTATGCTTAATAGTGAGTATTGTTAAGTAGATTTTCAAGTGAATATTTTAACTGCACAAAGAGGAAGACAGAAATGTAAATAAAACCTTTCAAAAGGTACAGAATAAATAAGAATAGGCTGATCTGAAAATGAACCAACTAGAAACTTCCAAAAGGTACAGTAGGGGAGATAGAAAGACTCAACAAACAGGCTAAACAATAGACTAGACCCAGGTGAAGAAATCATGCATGAACTGGAACATGATCTGTGTAAATCCCCTAGAACACAGCATGGACAGAAAAAGAGGTAGAAAATATGAAAAAGAATTTAGGAATATGACAGCTAGATTGAAAATCTCTAACATATGTTTAATAGATGCTTTAGAATGAAGGAGTTAAATTCCTTATATCAGTGAGATCATATGATAATTGTCTTTCTCTGATTGACTTATTTCGCTCAGCATAATACCCTTTAGTTCCATCCACATCATAAGGGAAGGGAGGGAAAAATGAAACAAGACGAAACCAGAGAGGGACACAAACCATAAGAGACTCTTAATCTCAGGAAACAAACTGAGGGTTGCTGGAGTGGAGGTGGATGGGAGGGATGGGGTGGCTGGGTGATGGACACTGGGAGGGTATGTGCTATGGTGAGTGCTGTGAATTGTGTAAGACTGATGAATCACAGACTTCTACCTCTGAAACAAATAATACATTATGTGCTAATAAAAAAAATAAAGAATGAAAGAGTTAAGAGACTAGGGAAGAGAAACCTTTAAGAATTTTCCAGATTTGAAGAAAGTTAGGGGATGTCAGAGGAAAATACATAAAACTGAATGAAATAAATAAAATAGAAGCTTATCTACTGCCGAACATCAAGAATAAACAGAAAATCTTGGGTTACAAGAGAGAAAAGATAGGTTTCCTGAAAAGAAGCAACAGTAAGACTGACAGAACACTTTTCTTCACCAACCAGGTGTGCCAGAGACAATGGCTGAATGTCTGAAAAATGATGAAGAAAAATAATTGTCAGTCTAGAATTCTATATCCAGCTTAACCATACTCCAAGAATTTGGAGGAAATGAAAGCATTTTCACACATACAAAGATAAGAACATAACTTTCCAGAGACCTTCATTGATAAAACTTACTGAAGGATACGCTTCAACAAAAAGAAAATGAGTAAGCTACACAAAGCCCAGGTGAACCAAAAAAATGACAAAGAAAGGAAGGAAGAAAGGAAGGAAAGAAGGAAGGAAGAAAGGAAGGAAGGAAGGAAGGAAGGAAGGAAGGAAGGAAGGAAGGAAGGAAGGAAGGAAGGAAGGTTAGCTAGTTATTATCATAAGTTGGTAGGGAAATAAAATTAAAACAAAATCTCCTCCCAACCTAGAAAACCTCTCCATAAAGATAGAAGAGAAAGAAAAAAATTATTGAATAAGCATTAAACAAGAATATGATGCTGATCACAGGCAATAAGCTAGAGGTTTCAAAGAAGAAAATCTTACCTTTTTATGTACCTAAATAGATATAGCCCATTGTATTCCTGTTTGCAAGATAAAATTGCTAAGTTTTTTTTGTCTTTATGATTGTAAATACACTTTGTCATTTGGAGTCAGGGGACAGCTGAAGTCAGGCCCACCTTCTCCCCAGTTACCAGCACCTGGATTCCAGAGGCACTTCTGTCTTTGAAAGCCTTTCTGGTAATTCCAAAATCATACCTGGAAGTGATTAGCCTCTCCCCTTGCTCAAAAAGCCATTCAAGTTTAAAAGTTCAAATCTGTATGTTCAACTAATGTTCAAAACAGTTAAGATTAGTAGTCAGGAGATGAGGGTCCTTGTCCTGACTATGTGGGCTAATGAGCTGTGAGGACTCCTGCAAGTCATTTCATCTTGCTGGTGTGAATGCAAAATGAGGGAGTGAGGCTAAATGAGTTCACAGATCCCTTAACTGTCAGTCTGTGTGCCTCTATTTAGGACAAGCTCTATTTGGCTGTGTGTGATGGACTCCTTTTCCTGTTCTTGAAGAGCTTTGGAGTTAGTTCCGTCCTGGAGAACAGAGCTCCTTTCAGGCTCAATGCAAATAATAACCATGAGAGAGAATAAATGAGCAGCTGCCATCTATTCACCCCACTGGGCGGGGGCCAAGCATTGAGGAGGCAAGGTCACAGACTCTAGCCTGACGCCAGAAGAAGACGCTGAGGTTTGCAGCGAAAAATCACTAGTGCATCAAATCGCAAAAGTCAGTGTCTTAAAACAATGACCATTTTATTTGCCCCCAACCCTGTGGGTCTACACTGGGCCCAGAGTTAGCTAAAAGGTTCATCTGCTGGTCTGCCTGGTGTCTCATGCGGCTGCAGCCATCGAAGAGCTCCCCTGGGCTGGGTGACCCAAGACAGCAGAAGTAGCATGTCTGAAATTTGGTATTGTCTGCTGGGGTGGTGTGTGTGTCCCCAACCAGCTAATCAAAGCTTTTTTGTTGGAAAGCAGTGTTCCTAGAGGGTAAGAGCACAAACGCCTCACAGGGCCTCTGGAGGCATTACCTTGAATGTTGAACTTCGCACATCATCCCCTGCACTCTACCCATCAAGCAAGCCACAGGCCTGCCCAGATTCAAGGGGGAGGAGAAACAGACTCCACCAATGGCCAGGAGGAGTGGCAGAGTCACACTGCAAGGGGAAGTGAATGAGGGCATGGGAGGGATATTGTAACCGTCCTTATAAACTAATGTTCACACTAATCACAGGCAGCATCTCTAGCCCAGCATGAAGCAGGCATCCAGTAAACACTTGTTTAAAGGATGTATGTCCTTAGTTGCAAAGGCTATGGGTCCTTCTTTCTCCTAGGAGAAAGTAACAGTGATATAGATTAGATGTCTTCCTGGTGGAGAATCAGTTGAATCACTGCTGAGTACAAATTCTAGTGTACATGACTGGGGGGAGTCGGTATATTTTTTCTTTGGCTTGCAATGGGATTGTCATTTCCCTTTGTTCTGTGGATATAACACATACTGACATGGAATGTTGACCCTATAAGAAACCCTGTATAATGATAGTTACACTTCCATAAGAAAAATATTACAGGTCGGATTTGATTACCAGATTCACCCATGGCAAATAAGATATGTATTGTTCTCTTTACTACTGTCTTAGCTTCATAAGTGAAAAAACTATCCAATCAACTCAACCAAATTCAACAAATATGTATTTAATGCCTAATTATTGCCAGGAATATAGTGTATGTGCCTCCTCCCCCATGTTTGACCCCTCCCAGCCCAGGTTTCATTAGATCTGGAGGTATAGAATGTTTCCTACTGTTCTTACTGTTGCAGCCTCAAGAATGACATCCAAGAGAATGGGCTGTCCCAGCTACCCCATCTTCAAAATGAAAAGTTATGAGCATACTTGTAGTATGTTTTCATTTACATATGCTATTCTTTCTGAATGAAATGCCTTTTTCCTCTTTTCTCTCATTCCAGTGGTTCCTCCTCTGAAACAACACTCTACCCCAGCCAGGTGGTTGGTCATCCATCCTCCAGGCTCTTCATTAACCTGGATATAGCTCATTTGTACACCCATCATACCTACTGTACTGTTGGTGTATGTGTCCATCTCTTCTAGGACTTTGAGCCTCCTGAGAACACACAGTTTCTTACTTATCTCTATAACTTTATGCAAATACTTGATAAATGTTAGATAAATGATTCCAGAAATGGGCAAAAGAAGGAAAAAAGGAATACTAAGTTAAAGAGCAGTAGAGAACCTGAGCTAACATTCTGGGGCCCACAGTGCAAGTTGACCTGTAACTCTCATTCAAAACAACAGAACTCATTCCCCTTTGTTTCTGCCTCCTTCATTCTTCTTCCTCTAATATGAAGCAAATTTAAAACTCTGTAGTCAGTTTTTGTATGTTACTCTCAAGGGATTCTAGATAATGACTTTTTATAAGAAGAAAGATCCCAGGGGGCGCCTGGGTGGCTCAGTCAGTTAAGCGGCTGCCTTTGGCTCAGGTCATGATCTCAGCGTCCTGGGATCAAGTCCCACATCGGTCTCCCTGCTCAGTGGGGATCCTGCTTCTCCCTTTGCCTTCTGCTCCCCCTGCTTGTGCTCTCTCTCTGTATCAAATAAATAAAATCTTAAAAAAAGAAGAGAGATCCCTGTTATTTACTTTGCATGATTTTTTTAACCAAAAGATTATATTTCATGTTTAAATGCCTAAATTATCTCTTCATATGCCACATAGCAATGTTATTTCTTATTTTGACAGTAGCTGTTGGGTTTACTTCAATAAAAATGGGACATAACTGCACTGGAAACGTAGTAAGCATTCTGGTGAGGTTGGTTTTAATCAGGTACAAAATAGCTAGGGAGGGTTGTGCTAAGTCATGCTTCTACCATGTTGCTGCAGCTCTGCTGGATGAAAGGCAGCTGGAGAAATCATGTTTAGTTTCTTAAAGTGGCAGCCGCAAGGCACAAAACTTAAGTAACTGACTCTGGTTTAGCCATAGCCTTACCATGAATGTGTGCCACCAGAGCTGGGGTAATCAAAGAATCCAGTCAAACAACCAAAAGTGTAATAAATCCCCAATGATATAATTTTGTTTAAAGTAATAATATGGTAGCATTAGGAGATAATGTCTTTAATAGTCTAACAATGAAAGTCCATGAAATTCTAGAAGGCAGATTTTACTATATCCCTGTTTATGACATCATCCTCAAACATGACTGATACACACAGAATAAATTAGATACCTAACTAATACTCATAGCTGAGATAGGAGTATATGAGTCAGAAACTGTATGGAACCTAAGTCCAACAATTGCAGCTAATTAAATCATAAAACTTAGACCAGAATTTTTTGGGTGCCCTAAGATCTTATATTACTGAGGACGTGCATGAATGAAATACAATGAAAAAGACCCAAAAAAGTGGAACAAAATGAAAGGAAACAGCAAAGTTTCAAAGAATTACTCACCAAAGAGAATCCTTCTGTGATTTTCCTAAGCAATTATTCTTCTTCATTCAACTTGATCTCTCCTAGTATGATAATAAACATGCCAGGAATTAGTTAGAATGATGGTTCTCCAGCCTCACTCATTATCTGAGTTACCTAGACTGTTTTTTAAATATATGTATTCCCATTCCCATTTCAGACTCTCTGAATAAGAATCTGGAATCTCCCAGGAGTCTGTATTTTTCAATCCCCCCAGGTAATTCTCTTTTTTTAAATTAATTTTTTAAATTTAAATTCAATTAGCCAACATATAGTACTTCATTAGTTTCAGATATAGATTTCAATAATTCATCAGTTGCAAATAACACCCAAATTTTAGTTAGTTAACATATAGTGCAATATTGGTTTCAGGAGCAGAATTCAGTGATTCATCACTTACATACAACACCAGTGCTCATCACAAGTGCCCTCTTTAATACCCATCACCCACCTAGCCCATTCCCCACCCACCTCCCTCCATCAACCTAAGTTTATTCTCTATTGTTAAGAGTCTCTTATGGCTTGCTTCCCTCTCTTCCCACCCCCATCCCATATGTTCATCTGTTTTCTTTCTTAAATTCCACATATGGGTGAGATCATATGGTATTTGTCTTTCTCTGACTTATTTCACTTAACATAATACATTCAAGTTCCCTGCATGTCATTGCAAAAGGCAAGATTTCATTCTTTTTGATGGTGGAGTAATATTCTATTCTACATATATATATATATACTATTATATAAATACACACACACACACACCATATCTTCTTTAGCCATTCATCAGTCGATGGACATTTGGGCTCTTTCCATAGTTTGGCTACTGTTGATGATGCTTCTATAAACATCTGGGTGCATGTACCCCTTCAAATCTGTATTTTTGTATCCTTTGGGTAAATGCCTAGTAGTGCAATTGCTGGGTCACAGAGTAATTCCATTTTTAACTTTTTGAGGAACCTCCATACCGTTGTCCAGAGTGGCTGCACCAGTTTGCATTCCCACCAACAGTGCAAGAGGTTCCCCTTTCTCTGCATCCTTGCCAAAACCTGTTGTTTCTTGTGTTGTTAATTTAGCCATCCTGACAGGTGTGAAGTGGTATCTCATCATGGTTTTGATTTGTATTTCCCTGATGATGAGTGATGTTGAACAGCTTTTCATGTGTCTGTTAGCCATCTGTATGTCTTCTTTGGAAAAGTGTCTATTCATATCTTCTGCCCATTTCTTAACTGGATTATTGTTTTTTGGGTGTTGAGTTTGAATAAGTTCTTTATAGATTGTGGATACTAACCCTTTATCAGATATGTCATTTGCAAATATCTTCTCCCATTCCACAGGCTGCCTTTTAGTTTTGTTTTGTTTTTTGTTTTGGGGGTTTTTTGGGGTTTTTTTTTAAAGATTTTATTTATTTATTTAACAGAGACACAGCAGAGAGGGAACACAAGCAGGGGGAGTGGGAGAGGGAGAAGCAGGCTTCCTGCATAGCAGGAGCCCAATGCGAGGCTCAATCCCAGGACCCTGGGATCATGACCTGAGCCGAAGGCAGACACTTAACGACTGAGCCACCCAGGCGCCCTGCCTTTTAGTTTTGTTGATTGTTTCCTTTGCTGTGCAGAAGCTTTTTATGTTGATGAGGTCCCAATAGTTCATTTTTACTTTTGTTTCCCTTGCCTCTGGCAACATGTCTAGTAAGAATTTGCTACAGCTGAGGTCAAAGATGTTGCTGCCTGTGTTCTCATCTAGTATTTTGATGGTTTCCTGTCTTACGTATAGGTCTTTCATCCGTTTTAGAATTTATTTTTGTGTATGGTGTAAGAGAGTGGTCCAGTTTCTTCTGCATGTTGCTGTCCAGTTTTCCCAACACCATTTGTTGAAGACTGTCTTTTTTCCATTGGATATTCTTTCCTGCTCTGTCAAACATTAGTTGACCATGGAGTTGTGGGTCCATTTCTGGGTTTTCTGTTCTGTTCCACTGATCTATGTGTCTGCTTTTGTGCCAGTACCATACTGTCTTGATGATGACAGCTTTGTAATAGAGCTTGAAGTCTGGAACTGTGATGCCTCCAGGTTTGTTTTTCTTTTTCAGGATCACTTTGGCTATTCAGGGTCTTTTGTGGTTCCATCCAAATTTAAGATTGTTTGTTCTAGCTCTGTAAAAAATGCTGGTGGTATTTTGATAGGAATTACACTGAGTGTGTAGATTGCTTTGGGTAGTATAGACATTTTAACAATGTCTGTTCTTCTAATTCATGAGCATAGAATGCTTTTCCATTTCTTTGTGCCCTGTCCAATTTCTTTCATAAGTGGTCTATAACTTTAAGAGTACAGGTCTTTTACCTCTTTAGTTAGGTTTATTCCTAGGTATCTTACTGGTTTTTGTGCAATTGCAAATAGGATCGATTCCTTGATTTCTTTTTCTGCTGTTTCATTACTGGTGTATAGAAATGCAACAGATTTCTGCACATTGATTTTATATTCTGCTACTTTGCTGAATTCATGTATTAGTTCTAGCAATTATTTAGTGGAGTCTTGGGTTTTCCACATAGAGTATAATGTCATCTGCAAATAGTGAAAGTTTGACTTCTTCCTTGCCAATTTGGATGCTTTTTATTTCGCTTTGTTGTCTGATTACCGAGGCCGAGATTTCCAGTAATATATTAAATAGTAATGGTGAGAGTAAGACAAGATATCCTTGTCTTATTCCTGACCATAGGGGAAAGGCTCTCAGTTTTTCCCCATTGAAGATGATAGTAGCTGTGGGTCTTTCATATATGACCTTTATGATGTTGAGGTATGTTCCATCTATCCCTACTTTGTTGGGGGGGTTTTATCAAGAATGGATGCTGTATTTTGTTAAATGCTTTTTCTGCATCTATTGACATGATCATATGGTTCTTAACCTTTCTTTTAAAAATATGGTGTATCACACTGATTGATTTGCGAATACTGAACCACCCCTGCAGCCCAGGAATAAATCCCACTTGATCACAGTGAATAATTCTTTTAATGTACTATTGAATTCAATTTGCTAATATTTTTTTGAGAGTTTTTGTAGCCATGTCCATCAGGGATATTGGCCTGTAATCTTCCTTTTTAGTGGGGTCTTTGTCTGGTTTTGGAATCAAGGTAATGCTGGCCTCATAGAATGAGTTTGGAAGTTTTCCTCCCATTTCTACTTTTTGGAACAGTTTGAGAAGAATAGGTATTAACTCTAGCTCCTTTAGATGTAAAGTTAGATTGTGTATTTGAGACTTTTCTTGCTTCTTGAGGTAGGCCTCCCCAGGTAATTCTCATGACCAGCCACCCTTAGCAATCTTTGCTTTAAACCAGTAATTAAAAAACCAAAACAAAAAAACTTCACCAAACTTAAAGGCATATGGTTATGGGCTGAACTGTGTTCTCCCAAAATTCATATGTTGAAGTCCTAACCCCAGTATCTCAGAATGTGACTGTATTTAGAGATGGGGTCTTTAAAGAGGTAATTAAGTTAAAACAAGGTCATTAGGGTGGGTCTTAATCCAATATGACCATTGTGTTTGTAAGAAGAAATTAGAACACAGAGAGGTACAGAGGGAAGACCACGTGAAAACAGAGAGAAGATAGCCATCTACAAGCCAAGGAAAAAGGCCTCAGAAGAAACCAACCCTGCCAACACCTTGACCTCAGGATTCTAGCCTCCAGAACTATAAGAAAGTAAATTTCTGTTGGTTAAGCCACCTAGTCTTTAGTACTTTGTTACTGCAACCCTAAAAACTAATATGTGTACTATTAATTTGTCAAGTGACAGACATGAATAACAAGAAGACATTGTAAAGGATGTCTTGCATAATGAAGAAACATTATGTTTCAACGGAAAAATAGTTCCACTAAAATGGCTAATTAATTGTTAAGTTTCAGTTCTATTCAACTTCAATAGGAAGAAAAGTTGCTGAGGGAGAAGGGAAAGAAAAACGAGAGAAAAGAATCCAAAAGAGAACGGAAACAACAAAGAGCTAGTAAAATGGGAGAAATGGGGGACATTCAGGAAAATGCAAACTATAATCCTTAAGGATCGCACTATAATACAATGACATTATGACATTATTATGAAACACAGGAGAGGAACAGTGAATATGCATACCCAACAAACACCTGTAAAGATCATAGTGAAATTTGTCTCTGAGCCTTTGCTGGCCAGAGGGAAAAGTTTAATTTCCTTCTTTCATGTAGTCAACAACCATTTACAGTCTACCTACTGCATGCCAGGCACTCAGATACAGTCTGGCTATACAAAGATGATTAACACAGGAGCTGTGCCATATAAGAACATTAGTCTAGAAGAAAAGTTTCAGGCCTTCGTCAAGGTCTAATCCCAAGAAAACATGCTTAAATTTCCTTTAAGAGATCTTAGGTTCTTCAGTTCTTTATCTCTTTGTAGAGCTCCCAGAGTCCCAAGAAGGGATACTACAGCTAATTCTTGTCCCTAGGTATCCAGGGAGTGGGTATGTTCCCGATCCCTATGCCCACCTTGGGCTGTGATCAGGAAGAACCGTATTTCTCTGGCATCCTGACTCTAGCACAGAGCCAGGCACATAGTAGGTGCTCAATAAACATTGAATTAATTAATTCATTAATGGTTCAAACAATCAAACATCTCAATTCCCGGAACCCTTCTAGCAAGTCTGGTACACACCCACCCTCCCCTGTGCCTTACAGCCTTTCCAGAAGTAGCTTTGCCTTAGATTTGCAGAGTCTCCTAGAAGTGGCCACCCAGGTAATGTTGAGGAAATATAATTAAAAACAAAATCTCCTCCCAACATAGAAAATTTCCCCACAAAGGGAAAAAAGAAAGAAAACAATTTCATTATTGAATTAGCATTCAACCAGAATGTGATGCTCATCACAGGCAATTCACTAAAGAGGTTGCAAAGACAGAATAAAGTCTTTCATATACCTAAATGGATACAATCCATTCCATCAGTTTTCAAGATAAAATTGCTAATTCTATCATATCTTTATGACTGAAGGTAAGGTTTGCCATTTCAAGTCAGGGGACAGTTGTAATTAGGCCCATCTTGTCCCAGGAAACCAGGACATAGGGTTTTACCTTCTTTGATGATTACATTTCAAAGAGATGGGTTCCAGGGGTCCCATGAGGGAACATTCCTAAGCTAACAAGAGGTTTATTTAGCATTTGAACTTACAGTAGCAAGGTGCCTCAGTCCCCATAGGAGCCTGTGCTCATGGAAGTCTCCTTTGGACTGGCCTGCCCACCTAAACAAGCACACAGAGGCAGCCCCAGGGACCGCAAGTGTTCTGTTAACCAAGTCTCCTGGCCATGGCACTGCACTCTAAGCCTAGTTCTTAAGGCAGAAATGTTAAACCTCTTTCTGAAAACCCATGTGGTAATAACATCTTTTGACCTTGAGCTGTAAGGAGCATCACACTTCAAACCCAGATTTTGAAATTACAGACTTATGCTAAAAGCCATGCTCCATCACCTACATTGTCTGATCTTGAGTTGATTGATTATTAATTTTTCCAAAACTCAATGTCCTCATCTATAAAATGGAGATAATGCCTTCCCACAGAGAGCACATAAAGAAGGGTTATTAATTACACTTACTACTCATATTGAAGCAAGGGAGTCCAGAGGCTTAGCGTGCACACTCTGAACCCGATGTCTGGCTTTCATCCCAGATCGACTTTAGGCAAAATGAGGTGCTTCATTCTTTAGTGTCCTCACAGATGAAGTGCTTAGAAGAGTGGCAAGCCCATATAAGAATGTCATAAATGTCAACCGATAGCTTTTACTTCCCATTAGTGTCACCAAGGTGCTGAAGCAGACCTTGCATCTCACTGCTCTCTGTCTTCTACCTGTCTCTTCACCTTCACCTCCCTCTGCCTTCGGGGAGTGGAGAAAAGTGTATTAGTGTGATGCTCCACCACTCTTTCAAGTCATCTTTTACATTTGTAATTAGGTAAAACCCCTTGAATTGCAATGTCTCTAGACAAATTATTACCTAGATTAAACCTGTGTAAATGCAAATGGAAATAATTTGAAAACATCAAGAAAGCACAAAATTTCAAATTGCTGTAGGAGAAGGTCTCTGGCTCTCATCTTTTCTAACACCTGTTGCCTTCCCTCTTTATCTTTCTTTCCTAGGCAGTTTCTGAATTTAAAAAGAGAAGCTTAGCCTTTTATGCTATTTGATACCTATTTAACAATTTTCATCACTTTCTTTTAAAGATTTTATTTATTTAATTGTCAGAGAGAGAGACAGAGTGCACAAGTGGCGGCGGGGGCGACAAGAAGAACAAGAAGCGGGCTCCCCACTGAGCAAGGAGCACAATGCAGGACTCGATCCCAGGACCCTGGGATCATGACCTGAGCCAAAGGCAGAACTTAACCAACTGAGCCACCCAGGTGTCCCAATTTACCTCACTTTTAACAGAGCCAACTATATCCCAGCAGGAGAATTACTACTAATTGCTATCTAAATATGTAACATTCTTCTTTCCTATTACTAAGTTGAGATCAGATCTGGGGGCAAAGTTCAGGAAAATAAATAACCCTAATCAAGTCCACTGATAAACAAGAATATTAGGTGAAGAATTTTTTTTAAAGATTTATTTATTTATTTTAGAAAGAGCAAGAGAGAGCACGGAAGTAGGGGGAGGGACAGAGGGAGAGAATCTCAAGCAGACTCCCTGCTAAGCACAGAGCTCTATGAAGGGCTTGATCTCATGACCCATGAGCCCATGACCCATGAGACCATGACCTATGAGATCATGAACTGAGCTGAAACCAAGAGTCGGATGCTTGAGTGACTGAGCCCCCCAGCGCCCCAAAGTGAAGAATATTTTTAATCATCTACTTTAACTGACCAGATGCAAGCCATCTATTCTAGTTGAAACTAAATATAAATCAGAGCCCTAAAGCCTTTTGCAGTGTCTATTGAGATGGGAATTAACTGTCTCTCCATCTAAAAAATAATTTGGTGTCCTAGAACCAGTAATCTTACCTCCCAGGTCTTAGGCTCTTCATCTGTTGAGAAATCATGATTAAAACTGTCTGCCAAGTCTGATTTGAACAAATAATAAGCCAGAACATGGGGGTGGAAGTAAATAATGAACATCATTTTTGGCACGATATTCCAATGGAATACTTTCACTTAATCTTTCACTTTTCAATCAGCTGTGTTTGCATCCACTTTCCAAGACTGGCCCCATGTAGATTTTGATCCCATAAATGCTATCTGTGTCCCCTTGAACCAACCAATTAAACTCTTTGGACCTCAAATATCTGTATCTATAAACTATAGATAATGATACAGCAATGAACTGAATGTTTGTGTTCCCCCAAAATAAATATGTTGAAACCCTAATCCTTGTGTGATGGTATTTGGAGATGGGACCTTTGGAAGATAATTAGGTCATGAAGGTGGGTCCCTCATGAATGGGATTAGTGCCCTTATAAGAAGAGGTCAGAGAGCTAGCTCTCTTTCTACCATGTTAAAATACAGGTAGAAGTCAGCCGTCTGCAATCCAGAAAAGAACCTCACCAGAATCCTACCATGTTAAAACTCTGATCTCTTGCCTTCCAGCTTCCAGAACTGTAAGAATAGATTTCTGTTGTTTATAAGCCACTTGGTTAATAGTCTTTTATAGGAGCCTGAGTTGACCATGATGGATACCTTCCTCATATGGTTATTTGGGGGACTGAATGTGACAGTGTGTATAAAATCTGTGTTCCTAATCACCATGCCCCTTAGGCTGTGACCCATGATCTACACTCCATAAATGTTGCTTCCCCTCCTTTTCCTTTCCCCTCCAGTCAAAGGATCTATTTGTCAGACCACAGGTTCAATGCCATCTTCTCAACCCCATAGGGAAATAACTCACGCCAACTCCTTCTTCAAGCCCAAATTTACCCTGCTCCCTCCATGGTTCTGTTCATCCCACACTGAAGCCATCCTCTTTTCTCTGAATCCCTCCATAGCTATTATTTTTGTACCATTCATAGTAGGTGGACACATTCTGCTGGTAATATGTTTTTGCTCAGTTTTTTCTCTTCCTCCATTACTAGATCCTTGAGAGTTTATCTGGTCCAACATGATGCCTTAGTCACAATATGTACTTATCTGCCTTTGGGTTCTTCTGAAAGCAAACCCTGAGGCAATCTTGAGCTGGGCAGTTTATTGGGAAGATGATCCCAAGAAACACAAGTGGGGAAAGAAAAGTAGGGGAGGGAGGACTGCTAATAGAATGTGCATCAGTGAGCTGGTTGTCACTGTCGGCAACTAGGGCGCAGTCCCACTAAGGACCCTCTGAGAAGGATCCTTCAGAATTATCCCACCAAGGGACAGCAAAGCCAGAGTACAGATTCACTGACTCTCATCCTTTATTGGCTGACCCAGGAGCATTAATTTCCTGCAGTACTGCATGTGAGCTGAACAAAATGGTTGCAGGAAGAGAAGCAAAGAGACAGGGACCCTTAAGGTGAGAGGCTGCCAGTGTGCATAAGCACTGTCTGCTATGACTGCAGGTGAACTTGCAGATGGGGCATCTATACCATCTGCTATAGTGCTCAATAAAAATCTAGTTGGTGTTAAATAAATGGTGTTGAATAAATAAATGAATACAATGGGAACATTGTATAAACACTGTCTATATCTTAATGCAAAATCACCTACCTAGAAAAGTTACACCTATCTTTTAATCCACTATTCTACCTAACCCACTTTATACATAATATTCTGAGGCCCACGTCTGGAGTGTTCTAGAATAAAGGTCATGGATATTTTGTTCTCTGATTGTGTTTGGGAGACTGTCAAAGGCTCCAGGCATTGTAAAAGACAAAGAGAAATATGGGAGCTAATGGCTTTCAAGAATCTTTCTCAACCATTTCTCACATATTCCTTACAAAATGTACAGTGACTTATCCAGATCCAAACAGTAAGTCAGCTCTTACTGACTAGAAAAACAACTTGGAATTTCTCAAGTTTGCCAAAAGCCCAATCAAGTGAGACAAGCAATTAACCACTCATACAACCCACATCCTTGACTCTACACCTAGTTAACCATTCTGTTCTTGCTTCCATCATATTTTCTTTCCTCCTACAAAAACCATGACTTTATGTCTCCACAGAGCCACTGTTCCAGGAAGTCCACGGGATAGTACAAACAACTCTGTGATTCTAAATAGCTTCTCTTTATCCCTCACTACTTTCCTCAAACACTGTGGGTGGTAAAAATAGAAGCCCATAATTTTAGTGCCAACCTGTAATATTTTTAATCAGGCCACACAATTTACACAGAAATTTCTTAGGGGAATGTCAACCTTTACATCTTGCATTTTTCCACTTACTGATAAGGTTAGTCTAAAATCAACTAATAAATAAATGTAAAAGTAGTAATAAAAAAGTTGCTTATTAATTTTTATCAATTCCAGCCCTTTTGTTTTGTAATATCTCTATTTAATATCTTAAATTAGAGCAAAGATTCTCAGATCAAACTCAGAGTCTTAAAGTTGCATTAAAATTTTACCAGAGTTTAGCACAGTCCTCTGTTCAGAATGAGGCCTTGAATAAATAGGAAACTCTGGGAAAATTGTGTATACTCTTGAAACCTACTTTGAAATCAAAGATGACCATCTTTACTAGCTACTATACTGGGGCAAAATAAAAATGTAAATAGCTCAGGATTAAACTTAAATTATTCATGTTTGAACGGTTTCTTTTGCTTTGTTATTTTTTAACTTTATTCTGGTGCTAAACTGAGAGGAATTCATTTTATTTAGGTAAGCAGTGATTTCCTGTCAGTTTTAGTCACAAATATAAAACTGCCTGATTAATGCCAAAGATTCTCAGGACCCACGTTTTATGACTACCTTCAAAAAGCAGAATTTTCAAAGTCACATGAAAACCAAGAAGGCTCTGGCAAAAACCTTACTAACTGCATCTTTTCCTTGGCTATGTTTTTAAGAAAGAGAAGGAAGAGGGAGGAGGACGGAAGAGCACAAAGGAATAAAAATAAAAACAAACACTATGTATGTACCAGCTGCAGGCCCAGGTCAGCCTGAGGGCTATTAACACAGGAGTGTAGAGTGGTCCTCAGCAACCAGCAGGATCTTTGGAGGTGCTTGAAAATAGAAGGCACAGCCACCAGCAAGAAATGGGTTTACAGCTGCTGTGGAGAGAAAACAGCAAATACTGCACTGAACATACTCAGACACTTAGACAGACAGACTTTTACCTTGGCTTCCTCCCAACCATACCAACACCCAGGATGGTCCACTTAGAAACCAATAATCCAATCACCCATTAAGTAAGTATTGACTCTTTTTAAGAGACCGACCTGGGTATTTGGGGAGGCAAAGAAGTAGAAGTTTCTGTCCCTACTCTCAAAGCAATTACAGCCTAGCTGGGGAAATGACTGATGCATTCAGAAAGAGAAAATGAACACCTCCAAGCAATCCCATCTTGCCAGACTTCCAGACGGAACATGGCCTGGAGCAGAGGGGAGGAGTCCTTTGCTCAGGGAGACATTTTCCAACCTCTGGGGAAAGACTGGCTGCCTGTTTTTTATCATTTACTTTCTCTGAGCTTCTATTTTCTTACCATGAGTAACCCAGTGTGTCATGCAAGTTTTATTTTATAAAGTTGATGGTACAGTGTAAGTACTCACTAAACAGTTACTTTTATCATGATTATTATTGTTATTATTAAGTAATATCTCCTAGAAGAATTTCCTGGAAGGCAGGGCAATGCTTTGTGAGTCCCATCCTGGAACTGAAAAATGCCTACTTCCCTACTATTATCAGTAATATTTAGGGATAATAAATACTTCATGAATTAAAGGATGTTTATTATTTGCCACGGGGCTACAATTGCCATAACTTTCTTTGAGACACTGAAACCAAGTTCCCAAAGGTCAACATTACTCGTGGTTGGCAGATGAACAAGCAGACATTTGGAAGCCATCCTGTTTATAACTAGTATCCACCAGAGGATGACAGAAGCAGATTGGTGAAATAAGCAATGTGTGTTCAGATCAAAGTCAGCCAGTGGAGGGGGCTTGGATTTGCAGGCCCCACACCGCTCCCAAGACAACACCCTGGTTCAGTGATTGCAACTTGCAGTCTTAATTTTCTTTGCATGAAGGAGCCTCTGGGAGAGAAGCCCATTGTCCATGCAGCTATGCTGCTTGCAGGAGGAAACGTTCTCTAATTTCTCTGCCTGAGAAGGCACCTTCTCATAAGCTTCACAAAGAAGAGAAGTTCTTCCACTAGTTGGTCAGTGGTATTCAAGAAAAAAGTAAGAGGGAAGAATTTCAGTGATGAAGGTGCTCATAATTCTGCTAGTAAAATGTCAGTTATTTAGAGTGATAATGCATTTTTAATGTTTGAGGATGTTTTAAATATGTGAATTACCTTCATGAAAAAGTTGTAAAAATAACGAAAGGTAAACCGCTGCAGAAACCTCAAAAAAAAAAAAAAATTCTAATTCCTCTGCCCTGAGAAGGCACCTTCCTTTAATTAGTACAAAAAAATACCAACCATGGGGCGCCTGGGTGGCTCAGTTGGTTAAGCGACTGCCTTCGGCTCAGGTCATGATCCTGGAGTCCCGGGATCGAGTCCCGCATTGGGCTCCCTGCTCGGCAGGGAGTCTGCTTCTCCCTCTGACCCTCCTCCCTCTCATGCTCTCTGTCTCTCATTCTCTCTGTCTCAAATAAATAAATAAAATCTTTAAAAAAAAAAAAAAATACCAGCCATTTTGGTATGATGAACAAGTACTCTGCAGTTCAGAGGAGGGAGAGATCCCAGAGGGGGCTGGGCCTCCAGGAAGGTGTCATAAAAGGCATAGGGTTTGAACTAAGCCCTGAGATATGGTTTGTACTCAGCAAGATGGAGAAGAGGAGGGGCCCACCTAAGAGAAGGAATGAGCAGAATGGAAGTTCTGCAGCCTTCACCAAAGCTTTCCCCAAAATGCCTCAATTCTGTTGAGCAGAAATTAAGCCATGTACCTTAGTAGTACAGCTCAATCTTTTTTTCTTTTTTTAAAGATTTTACTTATTTATTTGACAGAGAGACACACACAGCGAGAGAGGGAACACAGCAGGGGGAGGAGAAGCAGGCTTCCCGCAGAGTGGGGAGACCGATTCGGGGCTCGATCCCAGGACCCTGGGATCATGGCCTGAGCCGAAGGCAGACGCTTAACGACTGAGCCACCCAGGTGCTCCAGTACAGTTCAATCTTAATATCTGATATACACTGGGCTGCATGCTTCTGTCTCCAGCATTCATCCATCTCAAGATATACAGACGGAGAGGTTAGAGAACCTGTGTGACTATCCTTTTTTTTATTTTTTTAAAGATTTTTTATTTATTTATTTGAGAGAGAGAATGAGATAGAGAGCATGAGAGGGGGGAGGGTCAGAGAGAGAGGCAGACTCCCTGCTGAGCAGGGAGCCCGACGTGGGACTCGATCCCGGGACCCCAGGATCATGACCTGAGCCGAAGGCAGTCGCTTAACCAACTGAGCCACCCAGGCGCCCCTGTGTGACTATCCTTGATGAAAATCCAGAGCTATGAGACACTGGGAGCATATGGATAGTTACCAAAAACTTCTGTCCTCTCAGGGCAGAAAGACACACAGCCAATGCGAGACATTTGACCCAAATCTAAAAATGACTCACATGATCTTATTGTATCTCTCATAATTGAAGTAAAAAGGCTCAGGCCTATCAGTTCTCCACTTTGTCTTCCACACTCTCGGCAGCATCTCCAGACTCGGGCTCTTTATACATGGAAGAATGATGGAGTTCTGGCTTCTAAGTGCTGGAATAACAAAGCCCTAAATTACCCAATACCCTAATTTCTCTGTACACACCTCCTCCCACTTCTATTCTACTTCTTCCTCAAAAGCACCACCAGCCCCAAGAGTTCTGTCAATGCCATAACCCTTTCCTGACCCCCGCCAAGAGCCCTCCTCAGGTGTCTAAGCCATGCAGGGATTTCCCAAGAGCCACTCCCAACATTTGTCTCCCTTCCTTCCTTTGAGTACAGGGCGTTGGCCACCCACCACCACCTTTGACACAATGGATCCCCCACATGATTTCACTTAAAAGGTATGGATTCTGAAGAATTCCACCTCATTCCTCTTTACTGCTCCCACTACTAGCTCAATTTTATTTATTCACCTCTCAAACTCATTAAGCAATGACAGTGTGCAAGCTACTCTGCTTGGCATCCTGGGAAACATGAGGCAATCTAAGATTCCAAAACAGCTGCCTTAAGGAGTTAACACTCCAGTGGGATTTGAGAAAACATTTAAAGATGACAAGGGTCTAAAAGGCAGAGTAGGGGCAGGTAGGGTAGTTTCATAGGCACAGGGACAGGAGGGCAGAGTGGACACACATGGAATAGCTAGCTACTTCACCAGCCCACTGGTAATGCTGAACTGGGGAGGTATCCCGCCAAGTCGTGCTGTCCTTATGGTGAAGGAAAGCTTGAGAATGTCTAACCGGGAGGGTCTTAGGTGTAGATACTGACTGGAGACTAGCTTGAAGCTGCTGTATACGCCACTGGACTTAGACTGTAACTTATTTCAGGTCACCTATGGGAGCTGATGGAGAAGTAAGGGACAGGCTGAGACCCTATGACAAGCCATCTTGTGAGGCCTCCACAAAGAAACTTCCTAAACAAAAAAATACCCCTCCACATTGCTGTTTCTCTAACTCTTCTTGGGAAAGAAGCATCAATTCCAAATAATTCTAAGTCCAAATACTTCCCCAACTCTGAGTTGGCAGACAGAATTTAGGTTTGGTAAAATTTGAGGCTTTCTTTAAATTGGAAAATTCAAACTGGCATTGGGGCTGATCTCTAAAGACCCTAAGCAACCATTACAATAGAAAATCATGTGGCCATTAAAGACAAAATTTTTATTACATATACAGAAGAATGTTAAATGAAAATCAACAACAAAACAGAAAGTAAAACAGAATGAACTTACCAACTAGAGTCCTTGGGGAAAAAACATGCTCTGAGAGGGATCAGGAGCTTATAATTAGCTGGCACTTTATGTTTATGGATTTTTTTACCCTATGAAGCTGTTAATAATAATATGGAGCTCATAATTCATGAGCCAAACTCTTTCCCCAATACACAGGGATACCAGCTTGAAAGAAAGCAGCCAGAGGACAGTGAGCCACCTTGAGAGAATGAACACCTCTAGAAACGTGGTTCCAAACAACCATACCAGACTTAAACTGAATTGACATTTGGTTAAGTATTTCCCCACTAACTAGCGGATAGGGGATTGGGTGGAACAGAAGATCACTTAAAGTCAAATAAAGAAATTGAATCTCTGTGCATCCCTAGTTGTACTGTGAGTTGATAATTTCTGACCTCTTAGATCTTAATGGTGAAAAATGGAACCAAAAACTTGTGACGTAATTCTGCCCTAAGTCCTGGTGCCAAACATTTTTGAGGACAGGTGTCCATTCATGGTTACAATGAATGCAACCACACCCCCTTGGCCAGACCTATGGTAACCATGGCCCCTTGGCTTCTGATGGTTAATTGCTGCCAAGGATCTCTCTTGCTTCAGGGCCCCAGCAGCCTGCATGGAGAGCAACTACTGAACTTCTAGTGAATCGAGTACCCCTCTCACCAGCACATACCCTGATGGCCTTTGCTAGTGGAGTGTCCTCTGGGTCCTCCCACAGAATCTTTGTGGGTATTCAGGCCTCATATAATATATCCAATTCAGCATGCCCACTTCCCTCTTCCCCTACCTTAGGCCATTGCAACTCAGGCATTTCAACTTCTCTCTTCATAGACCATTACTTCCACAGGCTTCTCAAAGCTACTCTAGAATTGAGTTTGCACCATCCTCCAGGGGCCTTGCAGGATGTTAAATCACTTGTCCTAAAAGAGTGCCACCCCCCCGTGTAAATGAACCCATGCTTGCTGACCCACCCCTTGATCAAGTGCCCCTGAAATCCAATCCAATTGAGTACCTTCCTGGCACTTATTGGTGAATGCTAACTCTTGAAGCTCCTCGAGTATAATCTCCTCCCTTGTAAAGGCCTGCAATCCCAGCTGGGCTATGCTGGTACTATTCCTACTTATCAGCTTTAGAGCCAGTAGGGAGGCAGGGGGTAGCTCCTGAGGGAACACCTGTGTCTTTGCTGGGGAGAGGGCTCAGCAGTGCCTTCCATGTGGGATAAGTGCTTGGCCTTAATAAGAAGATACCTGGGTGGCTCAGTTGGCTAAGCGTCTGCCTTTGGCTTGGGTCATGATCTCAGGGTCCTAGGATTGAGCCCTGTGTTGGGCTCCCTGCTCAGTGTGGAGTCTGCTTCTCCCTCTCCCTCTGCCCCCTTTAGCGCCCTTCCCACTTGTACTCTCTCTCTCTAATAAATAAAATCTTAAAAAAAAAGATACAAGTCACAATCTTCAAGGTTACCATTCAAATGTCTTCATCCATGACTCGGGGTCTCAGGTTTTCCCATCTCAGGCCCTGACCTTAATAACAACCTGCCTTGGCTGAGCATTCAATGGTCTTTCTGAGTTTGCTCCTCAACAATGTCAACTCTCTCCCTACAGGAGATAAGGACTTCTTTGTAAGCTACCAAGGAGGCCATCAGGTTCTCACACCTAGTTTTTTAACTGTCCTTTTTTTTTTTTTAATTATGTTATGTTAATCACCGTACATCATTAGTTTTTAATGTAGTGTTCCATGATTCATTGTTTGCATATAACACCCAGTGCTCCATGCAGAACCTGCCCTCTTTAATACCCATCACCAGGCTAACCCATCCTCCCACACCCCTCCCCTCTAGAACCCTCAGTTTGTTTTTCAGAGTCCATAGTCTCTCATGGTTTGTCTCCCCCTCTGATTTCCCCCCCTTCATTCTTCCTCTCCTGCTATTTTCTTCTTCTTTTTTTTTTAACATATAATGTATTATTTGCTTCAGAGGTACAGATCTGTGATTCAACAGTCTTGCACAATTCACAGCGCTCACCATAGCACATACCCTCCCCAATGTCTATCACCCAGCCACCCCAACCCTCCCACCCCCCCACCACTCCAGCAACCCTCAGTTTGTTTCCTGAGATTAAGAATTCCTCAGATCAGTGAGGTCATATGATACATGTCTTTCTCTGATTGACTTATTTCACTAAGCATAATACCCTCCAGTTCCATCCACGTCATTGCAAATGGCAAGATTTAATTCTTTTTGATGGCTGCATAATATTCCATTGTATATATATACCACATCTTCTTTATCCATTCATCTGTCAGTGGACATCTTGGCTCTTTCCACAGTTTGGCTATTGTGGACGTTGCTGCTATGAACATCGGGGTGCACATACCCCTTCGGATCCCTACATTTGTATCTTTGGGGTAAATACCCAGTAGTGCAATTGCTGGATCATAGGGTAGCTCTATTTTAAACTTTTTGAAGAACCTCCATACTGTTTTCCAGAGTGGCTTTACCAGCTTGCATTCCCACCAACAGTGTAGGAGGGTTCCCCTTTCCCCGCATCCCCGCCAACATCTGTCATTTCCTGACTTGTTAATTTTAGCCATTCTGACTGGTGTGAGGTGGTATTTCATTGAGGTTTTGATTTGGATTTCCCTGATGCCGAGCGATGTTGAGCATTTTTTCATGTGTCTGTTGGCCATTTGGATGTCTTCTTTGGAAAAATGTCTGTTCATGTCTTCTGCCCATTTCTTGATTGGATCATTTGTTCTTTGGGTGTTGAGTTTGATAAGTTCTTTATAGATTTTGGATACTAGCCCTTTATCTGATATGTCATTTGCAAATATCTTCTCCCATTCTGTCGGTTGTCCTTTGGTTTTGTTGACTGTTTCTTTTGCTGTGCAAAAGCTTTTTATTTTGATGAAATCCCAATAGTTCATTTTTACCCTTGCTTCCCTTGCCTTTGGTGATGTTTCTAGGAAGAACTTGCTGCAGCTGAGGTCAAAGAAGTTGTTGCCTGTATTCTCCTTTAGGATGTTGATGGACTCCTGTCTCACATTGAGGTCTTTCAACCATTTTGAGTCTATTTTTGTGTGTGGTGTAAGGAAATGGTCCAGTTTTATTCTTCTGCATGTGGCTGTCCAGTTTTCCCAACACCATTTGTTGAAGAGACTTTTTTCCACTGGACATTCTTTCCTGCTTTGTCGAAGATAAGTTGACCATAGAGTTGAGGGTCCATTTCTGGGCTCTCTATTCTGTTCCATTGATCGATGTGTCTGTTTTTGTGCCAGTACCATACTGTCTTGATGATGACAGCTTTGAAATAGAGCTGGAAGTCCAGAATTGTGACGCTGCCAGCTTTGCTTTTCTTTTTCAACATTCCTCTGGCTATTCGAGGTCCTTTCTGGTTCCACACAAATTTTAGGATTATTTGTTCCATTTCTTTGAAAAAAGTGGATGGTATTTTGATGGGGATTGCATTGAATGTGTAGATTGCTCTAGGTAGCATTGCCATCTTCACAATATTTGTTCTTCCAGTCCATGAGCATGGAACGTTTTTCCATTTCTTTGTGTCTTCCTCAATTTCTTTCATGAGTATTTTATAGTTTTCTGAGTAGAGATTCTTTGCCTCTTTGGTTAGATTTATTCCTAGGTATCTTATGGTTTGGGGTGCAATTGTAAATAGGATCAACTCCTTAATTTCTCTTTCTTCTGTCTTGTTGTTGGTGTATAGGAATGCCACTGATTTCTGTGCATTGATTTTATATCCTGCCAC